ATTCTATGATTCTATGATCCTCTTTTCTTAAGTCATGGAATATAACATGGAGCATGCCAGCTGCCAGGTCACTTCCTCTCCACTTCCATGTTCATGGAGGACTTTACTGTTTGACATTTCCACTGTTACTCATTTTTCTCCCTTCTGAATTTGATTTTAGGGACTTCCCCAAATCTTGTTTTGGTTTTGTGCCTCACCTGGGATGATCTTTATTGCCTCTGTGAAAGCAGTGTGAGATAGCATAAAAAGCTGAAACAGTAGAATTTTGCTGCAAAGGAGGGTGATGAAGGCTTTATATAGCCTGGAAGCTGTGGCTTTCAAAACTTCGGGCTGGTCAAATCCAGCCAGTGCTCTGCCTCAGTGCAGCCAGAAAGTAGAAGCTTTTCAAGTTTGAGAGTCAGTACAAAGCTTTGCCAAATAGGTAGGGTTTTCCCATATGCATTGCTGTCTGTATCCTAGCTTTTAACCATTGTGAAAGTCCTGTGAGCGAATTGTTGGTACTCTGGCACCTGTATAATGTGCTACTGCATTGGCTTCTTCAGCATGTCTGCATTTAGTGTCAGTGATCTGTGTGGAGCAAGGCTGCCAAGGCCCAGTTTTCTTTCCTGGCATCCTTAAGAGTATTGAGCCAGTACCATTCCCTTCTGATATGAGAGACTGGATGTGTGAACATGTTTTTGCCATTGTTTTTCTGCACTACTGTCTTGGCTCTTCCCACTCCAGAACTGACTTCTTGGTAAAATATGCAACCAAGTCCTTTAATTTCAGGATTCATTCTGTAACAGGCCAATTACAAAGGTTCCTTCTCTACCAACACAGTGCAGGATGAAGTTTTTATGATACGCAGCTGAAAGGAACATCACTACCCTATGGCTGTTGAGATTTCTTCACTGGATGCTGAGGCTTCATGCTCTGACCAGCCTCTTCCTCTGGTCTGTCTTGATTTGGTGCTGAAGATTACCATGGCCATACCATGGGTTAGCTTGCAATGGAACAATGGATATTTTGTGCCCTAAGGAGTTGGTGCAGCTTATATATTTATAGTGAGAATTGAAAGCAGACGCCTTTAACTTGAAGTATCTTTTGCTGAAAAAAACCAGAGCAATCCACATTTTCTCTCATAGAGGTCTCTTTCAGTCCTGATGTTGTAACAGCTCCTGTCCATAGGCAAAGCTTAACATCTGCTTTGATTTAGACAGCTTTTTAATCAAGGGAAATAGTCCATGTTCCATAGAAAGAGATGAGTTTCTTGGCCCTAAGTATACTGATATTAGAAACAGTCCCTGATTCACCTGATGTAGATAAAAGTAGCTGTAAAAAATTGGGTATTTCAAACAAAATAATTTTGAGGGACTGCCTGATATCTGTGGTTCATCTCATCATCTTCACCTTATCTGTTTCTAATATCTTCATGCTATCTGTTTCGAATCATCTTTGCTAGCACATTTTAAGAATTCTAAACATATGTGACACAGGTCCTTTGCCAGGAGGGCAGCACATACCCTATGCACTTTTCCACTCTGATTCTGAAATTGCAATAGAAATTGCTTTTATTTTGGTTATTAGATTTTCACATGACTGCTTGTATATTTTTAGTGATTTTAGTGATTAAAAGTTACAAATGAAAAAAATATATTTATTAGAGTCAGTAAATGAGATCATCATTACTTAATAATTTTTAAATATGCTACAGCCTACAAATTCATTTGCTTGTGTTTGTCTACTGTTCATTTGGGGACTTTGAGAATTCCTTTTGAAGAATCTGTTCTGAGTAATACTGCGTAATTTTCAATACATGGGATCATTCAGATCATAGTCTTTAATGTAAATTTTCTCCATCAGGTTCTAAGCGTTCTTCTCATAGCAATGCTTATTTCTATGGATTCTTCAAGAATAAGCGGATAGTACTCTTCGACACCCTCCTGGAAGATTATTCTGCATTGAACAAAGAGACAGCAGAAGGAGAAGATGGTGAGAATGAAGATATGAAGTCTAAAACCAAAGTGAGTTCATCTTTGTTATTCATCATGTTATTTACATTAACTCCTTGGTGAGAAATTCTCTTGTGTTTTCTGAATGTATTGTAAAAGTCCTGAATGAGGACTTTTTAGCTTGTGTTCCTTCCTTCTCTTGGGACTGCCACACTGAAGCTGCCCTTTGAAGGAAATGATTTTGACTATCAGTGTATCATTTGTATGCCTTTCACTACACACAAGAGGCATGCACATGCACACACACATACAGATTCCACGTGTGTATCCTCCTCCGCCCTGGTCAAGAACAGGATGATGGCCTTTAATTGTCAGTTCCACTGATGTGTAGGTGCACATCAAAAATCTGCTGTAACAGCTTTTGTGGTTTGAGGAGAGTGTCAGGATGGTGAAAACTGATGGAATACTTTCTGAAGGTCCTGCAGGAGTAATTCTGAGAAGGCCTTGTGTAACCTAGCGTTAGTTCAATGTACAGATTATTGTTCAGTCTCACTTCTGTTTCTTGTAACTGTGTGAGTGGTGGAATTATCTTCATCCATGGTTTGGTATGGCATACTGCAGAAATGGGTGATGAGAGGAAGGACTGGATGGACTGGATGATCTCTAAGGTCTTTTCCAACCTAGTGATTCTATGATTCTATGAAGGGATTTGGAACTCACCTGCATTGACAAATTCAGAGAACCTTTTATAGTAATAATAATTTGGTCTATTTCAACAGCTTCTTCATCTATGTTCCTATTACACAAGCCCATATGTTTGCTTCTGACTTGCTACAGTACCTTTGAAGGTACAGGTGTCCATCTTTCCTAATGATAGCTTTAAGGCATGACATAGCCTGTGTTGCAGAGGACAGGGATATTGTCATTAATTTTTAAAGGGACACTAGTGCCTTGGGAGGAAGGCTGTAGGTTGAGTGTTAAAGGAAGTAGAGAGAGGACTTTGCTCTCAATTTGCTGTTGAAAGTCAGTGGCTCTGAATGTCTACTTTCACTGTAATGCCTTTGAGTAAAGAAACAGAATGAGATCAAGGGATGGTAGGAGAGAGTTTGGAAGGCAAATCTTCTAGAGTTCTTCCAGGTTTGCATAGGTATGTCTGCATACATAAAATAAGAGAACATCACCTCATGGTAGAGATCTTGTTGAACTTTAAAGTTTTTGGGGGATTTTTTTAAAGTTTCTTCTTGAAAAAGGCTCAATAAGAAATAATTGTGTGTATCTGTTGGTAGAAGGGAATGGCCTGATCTAGGGACACTTAACTGACTTAGGAAAAAAAGAAATAAGTAATAAATTTATTCAGTTGTGTTCAGTCATATCTCATATTACTTCTGCTTTGTTATTCCCTTAGAATAAGAAACAAGGATGTAAAAATGAAGAAGTACTGGCTGTACTTGGTCATGAATTGGGTCACTGGAAACTAGGTCACACCGTCAAAAATATTATCATCAGCCAGGTAAGTTATGATAAACTGGTAGATTTCCTAGAGTATTCTGTAATTACTTCTGTTTCCAAATGCCTGTTTCTGGATTTCTAAGTGTATGTTCACACAATATACTTAGGCTTTGCAACAGAAAGTTGTTTTGGTTTGGTTTGGTTCTTTTTTCTGTATCTACAGTAAACATGCACTAGCCTTTTTGTCCCCTCCTTGTTCCATCAGGTTGGTAGAAAGCATACAAGAAAGCACGTCTGCTGCTGCCATTTTAATTCATCTCAGCAGCCTTCTTAAGCTGGGACACATTTTTCTTGCTCTGTAACACTTCTTCCTTGTCTGTTTGAATCTCAGGCCCTTCTCTGAAAGTCTATTTCCATCCCTAGACTAAGGATAGGATTGGATGTATTCTGTCTCCCAGCCTGCATTTTTATAGGTGTTTGTCATTATCTCTGAGACATATATGTGTCTGAGAGTTTCTATCAGTCTTGTTCCTTGGAGCGCTGAGAGAAGGGATGTGGTTGAGGATTATGAAATCTGGCACAGGAAGGCATTCTTATTTATTTATATTGTATTCTTGTACCTTGTGCATTGATCATTTGTAAATAACTTTATTGTGCCATTCTTGGTGTGTGCCCAAATGGGGGTGAGCATTGAAGCAATCTCTAGAGATTGGCCAACCTCAGCTATGAAGAAAAGGAGCCTGCTGGTCTGTTTACTCATGCATATGCCTCTTGGAATTGCACATTACGAGGGAATCCCTTCTCCAAACCTCCTACTTCAAATTCTTTTATTTGCAGGCACAGCTATGTATTTTCTGTTAAATTACTATCAACAGTTTATATGCTTTGCTGTAGATCTGTCTTGTTCCAAGTATCACTCATCCTTCTTTTCTCCAAGTTCCCAGCCTTTTTGTTTCATTTGTTTCTCCTCACTGCCCTGCTACACACATTCTGTAACTCCGTCATGTCTTTCTTGAGATGCGTCTACCATTCCAGAAATGCTGATCTGTTCTTTTTTTAAAGCTATTCACAAGCTTTTCAGGCTGGAAACATCACTATGAAGCTGCTTAAGAACAGATTCATGTTTAAAAAAATACAAATCTTTCCATTTCTACTCTGGCCTTTTCTTATCCATACAACTGAGCGCTTCAGTGAGGTCCTTCTCACTTGCTGCATCTAGGCAACCTTCCAACTTCTGCCATCAGTGTTGATCCGTACTAACTAGCAACTATTAGGATGCTTTTGCCACTCTGCTAATTCATGTAACTTTTGTCTTTGAATCCACTTTCTAGATAGTATTATTTTGTAATCGACAGATTTTTATCTTCAAAAAATTTTCACAAATTCTTCTGCAATGTTTTCTACTTTTTCTGTTGATTCTTGTTGATTGTTGTTTTCTGTCACAGCCTCCCCTCTTTTTCCTGTCCTGTGTGTTTCAAAACCAAACAATATTCTTGCACTTTCCACACCACTCTAAAAAGACCAAACAGCCACATGAATGAATTGAAAAGGTACTAATCACCTTTTCTAGAAGACTTGGTAAGACATGGTCCCACCTCTTGCCTCTGAAAAGCCAGGCAAGCACAGTGCTTATACACAGTGATGCATGGCTTAGATGGAAGCATGTTTCCAGGAATAAAAGTATGACACAGCACAGACACTTTTGTTTGTTTAAACTTTTTGGAACCTATGCTTAATTCCAAGGCGATGGATTCTACCATGTACTGCCTCCTCACTAGAGGTCTTTCCCTCTTCATCTTTCTTCACTACTTAGACTTTTTTTTTAGCTCACTGACAGAAAATAGTGTTTCTTTACTGCATGCATATACAGAAAGCAGGTAAAAGTCAGCTGATTGTTCCTTTTTGTATATTAGTTCTAAAGTAATCTGGTTTTTTTCAGTGTCATTTCTGTGCAAATCTGTAATATGAATAGGCCGTATTTTAGACTTAGATGAAAAACTCAATCAAGAATATTGGGGTTTTTTTCTCTAGATGAATTCCTTCCTCTGCTTTTTCTTGTTTGCCGTGTTAATTGGTCGAAAAGAACTCTTTGCTGCATTTGGTTTCTACGACACCCAGCCTACCCTGATAGGACTGATGATTATTTTCCAGTTCATTTTCTCACCTTACAATGAGGTAAATTGTTTTCAAGACATAAATGCAGAAGTATCATTCTATTTAATTAATGATTTTATTTTGATTGGCGAGGCGGGGGAAGAGTTTCTAGGGCCTCCATCTGGTATCTCATGTCAATAAGTAGCCTTAGTGGTCCATGTTGGGTAAGACTGTGCTTCAGGTGTGGTGTGGATAAATCTTAGTGACATTATTCTACAGCACAGTGATGTGTGGGATGAGGGAAGGAAGATACAATAGTATTTACTGATACTGTAAGGAATTTGAAGATAGCTGAATTATAAAATAATTTGAAATATATTTCTCTCCACAGGTTCTGTCATTTTGTTTGACTGTATTAAGCCGACGATTTGAGTTTCAAGCAGATGCATTTGCCAAGGAACTTGGGAAGGCTAAAGACCTGTATTCTGCTTTGATCAAGCTAAACAAAGATAATTTAGGATTCCCTGTTTCTGACTGGATCTTTTCAATGTGGCATTACTCCCATCCACCCCTTTTAGAAAGACTGCAGGCCTTGAAAGATGCAAAGCAAGAGTGACAGGAACCATTGTTGGTTCAGAGACAGTGCTTCCATCTCAGAAGTTCAGACCTGTTTTTTAGTTTCTTTTTTAAAATGGATAATACCAGTGAAGTGCAATGTTAACAGCACCACAGTAGAATACTGAAACAGGTATTAAATCATAAATTACTTCTTTTGACAAAAAAAAAAACTTGTGGAACTTAATTTAGAAAAAGTACTGGATGAACACGTCCCCCCTCCCCTCCACGGCTTTTATCTCTGTATCATAGTATAGATTTGTAAAGGGAGGAGAACAAAAATACATACTTAAATCAGTTATTTCTTCAGTTTGTGTATGACTTGAACATTGCTTTTGATCCTTTTCCTTTTCTCAGCATTCTGTGAACCTTCCCAGTCTCAACTCTATTCACAATCACGAGGGTTTGAGTGACTTGATTTCTTGCATACTACGACTTCTATTTACCAGTCACTGTTTATGTTGTAAAATGCTGAATGCAGGTACAGTCCCTTCTTCTGGATTCATGTCTGTTGCAATTGAAAATGCTACTTAATAAAACCTTCTTTATCTGAAGTGTGGGAAGAAGGATGAGGAAATGTACCATAACTTCTTGAAAATGAGCACAAGTCGGTATTTAGTAGCATCGCAGTGGGATTAGGCTCTTCCTCTTCTTCACTGTGCTGCTAGGGGTGTGGAAGGACGTTACGGAGAATCAGAAGAGGACCCACATGTTAGAGAAAGTTGCTAATTCTCTGTTCTCCCTTTTGCCTGTGAGCAGAATGGTTGACAGCTTTTCCACACCTCCATTCCTTCTCTTGTCCTTTGCCTAAATTTGTTGTGTATTTGGAAGTATCCAGTTGTTCAGTGTATCAGAGCTGAACTTCACTCTGAGGGGGTTTGTCTTCCACTCCATTGAGGGTTTTCCATTAATATGAATCCTGATGAAATAGCTGTGTTGGAATACTTAGAAAATATTCCTCATCATTCTGATATAAATAGCACAAGACACAGTTTGTTCATATAGGTTAGTGAAGAACAAAGTGAATAATTGTGGAAATGGCTTCTGCATTGATTATCTCAGATTTTTCTGACGCAGGGTGGAATTGAATTTACTTTTGTTGAAACAGAAGTTAAATATAAGTTTGTATGTGCCATGCAAATGTACTGGACCAGACTGCACATACTTCGTATAAAAATCACATGTTCTATATGCAGTAAATAAAAAAGTTCTCAGCTCTATACAAAGAGAGAAGAAGTCAAAGCAAATTCTCATTGTTTCAGATGTCAGATTGTTCCCAGAGACTTTAGTTAGCTTAAATTTGCTTTTCTGATCATAGCGAAAAATGCCTTATAAAATGATGGGCATGATGATTTCTTGGGTGCAGCAAGATACAATATGTTGCTGGAAGCCATTTGTATGCCTTACTCTAATTGTGTTTATACCCTAGTGAATATGAAGCTAACCTATAGATATGGACTTAGGAGACAGTTTTACAAATATGGGGAGCCTATATTTTTCATGTTAACTGCATTTAATAAATGGCCCTTAAAAGGATTAACTCGACTCTGTCAATTCAGAAGAGTGAACAAATGTGTCGAGTTTTGAGTTTGAGATGTTGGTTCATGTAAACCTATGGAAAACAAATGTGCACTGACAGTTTGTCAGTTTTGTCTCACCCCTTAGGTACAACTTATACGCAAAAATGAATTCTGTGGCTATTTCAGAAATTTAGCTAAACATAAAGGGAGTGAAGTGGGGTAATGAACAAAATGCCAGTTCCTATGGAAGCAACAAATACTTGAAATACTTAGGCTTACAGGCAAAGAGGCTTCTGTCATTTGCCTGTTGTTTCCTTTCTTCCATGTCACTGTTAGGTGTTGATCTGTGCACTTCTCCCAGCTGGATTTTGTCATCTAACTCATCTGAACAAGGGTTCAGAATTGGTTCCAGTTTCTTCTCAGCACTGGCATTGTTTGTCAGTGTGCTGGTTTTGGCTGGGATAGAGTTAATTTTCTACACAGTAGCTAGTGTGGGGCTATTTTTGAATTTGTGCTGAAAACAGTGTTGATAATAGAGATGTTTTTGTTATTGCTGAGCAGTGCTTACATAGGGTCAAGGACTTTTCTGCTTCTCTCACCACCATCCCCCCCACTGAGTAGGCTGGGGATGCACAAGAAGGTCGGAGGGGACAGAGCCGAGATAGCTGACCCCAACTGTCCAAAGGGATATGATGTCATGCTCAGCATATAAAGCTGGGGGGGACATTCAGAGTTATAGCATTGTCTTCCCAAGTAACCATTACATGTGATGGAGCTCTGCTTTCCTGGAGATGGCCTGCCAGTGGGAAGTGGTGAATGAATTCTTTGTTTTACTTTGCTTGCACATGCAGCTTTTGCATTACTTATTAAACTGTCTTTATCTCAACTCATGAGTTTTCTCACTTTACTCTCCCTATTCTCTTCCCCATCCCACAATGGGGAAGCAAGCAAGAGGCTGTGTGGTGCTTAGTTGCCAGCTGGGGCTGAACCATGGCAGTCTGCGTGCTGTTGACCTTTTGCCCATCCACATACAACTGTGCAGACACCTGGCATGAAGGAGAAAGGAGGAGGACTAAAATTGGAATGCTTTTTGGAAATAGGTATAAATGTCTCCCTTTCAGCAGTCTTGGCACATTGCAAGGCGCTCTGTGAGTCATGCTGTGTATGTCCGCACAGGACTGTTATGGCCACAGGGATTTTCTCTTTTCTCGTCTGCTAAAAGGTGCTGCCACTTTGTATCTGGATTAGATGTGAAGGCAAGGAAACTGGAAGAGATACATGCATAGGTAAATCTGTATGACGGCATGGAAGTTAACTCACGTGCCTCGTTTCAGGTTGCTAAAGTGCTCTAATGGAAGTGCTTGGGAGGCTTGCATAACACAGACCTAATCATGAGCTCTACAAGGCTGGGTGAGTAACAGGGGGCTCCTCTGGAACATGCCCGAGATGGAAGTAATTTATGAACTCAAGGCAACCGTTATGTCTGTAAGAACAGTGAGGGCTACAGCGCACAGGCATGGCCGGCAGAGAGTGAGACATGACTCTTGTGGCTTTCATCTTATCACAGAATGGTAGAATGGTTTGGGTTGGAAGGGACCTTAAAGATCATCTAGTTCCAACCCCCCTGCCATGGGCAGGGACACCTTCCACTAGAACCGGTTGCTGCAAGG